GTGAGTGTGTGTGTGTGTGTGTGTGTGTGTGTGTGTTGGGGGGCGGGGGATAGAGCAAGAGCAGGGCGGTTACTCTACCCCAATCACCCAGGTTGTTGGCTCCCAATTTCTAGTCCTTTGAGTACAAAAGTCAAGAAAATGGGGTAGAACCCTTCCCAGTTCAGTTCAGCATTCTTTCCCAACCCTGGGGCCGACGATAGTTTATAAACATCAATTTCAGGGCGCACAGAAAGCCTCTCAAAGTCAACAAGAGAAGCCAGACAGCTGAGATAGCACTGCCAGCCATGGAGAGGGTGTAACCCACCCCTGTTGGGCTCACTCCTACTTTGCGTGGGAGACTGTTCTTCAAGTCGCCAGTGTGTTTATTCCCACTTGCTGACCGGGAGGCGTGAGTTAGGTTTTAGGACTCTGAATAAGAGAAACTAAGGGCTTCTTTGTGAGAAGAGCTTGGAAAGGGATATAAGTGAGGGGCAGGGAAAGAGGGCGTCCAGGCCCCACAAATTATCGGTAGAGACTCCAGGGCTTTTCTTTCCCAATGCCTCCAGTCGGGGCTCTTTCTCTTCCCTCCTTTTCCCTCCCTTGCCCTCTCAGTTCCTAGGGCCCCAACTGTGCGGGGGAGTGGGGGTGAGGGGGGCCGGAAGCGCAGGTACGTGGAGTACTGGGGGCCCCTCCCTATGCAGCGCTCCAGCCATTACCTGGTAGCTAGCCACTTCAGCACTGTGTCTCTCCTCCAGCTCCAGAATCTGCCTCTCCAGGGACTCGTTGGCTCCACGCAGGCCCTCAATCTCAATGGTGCGTGCCTGCAGCTGGCGCCGGTACTCGTGGATCTCCTCGCGGCTGGCCCGGATGGCCTCGGTGCTGCGCGCCGCCTGCTCGTTCAGGTTGGCAAACTTGGACTTGTACCATTCCTCGGCTGACTGCAGGTTCTTGGCGGCCAGGGACTCATACTGGGCGCGGATCTCCCTCAGCGCTGAACTCAGGTCTGGTTTAGCCACAGCCACGTCCACCTCGGCCGCAGCCTGTGACGACGCCTGCAGCGTGGCCAGAAGCTCGGCCACCTCCTCGTCGTGCACCTGGCGCACGAAGGCCAGTTCATCCAGCAGCGACTCCACCTTCTTCTCCAGGTCCAGGCGGGCTAGCGTGGCGCCGTCCACGTCGCGCTGCTGCGCCTTCAGGGCGCGCTCGGCGCCTTCGCGCCCGCGGCTCTCCTCCTCACAGCGCGCCCGCAGCCGCTGCACCTCCTCGGCCAGCCCGTCGCGTTCCAGAAGGGCCTGCGCGCGAGCGGAGCTCGCCTCCTCCAGCTGCGCGCGCAGGTCGCGCAGCTCCCGCTGGAAGAGCTCGCCAACGCGCGACGGCTCAGCGTGGCGCTGCCGCAGCGCGGCCAGCTCGGTCTCGAGCGCACGGTTCTGCGTCTCCAGCTGGTGCACCTTCTCGATGAACACCGCGAAGCGGTCGTTGAGGCCCTGAAGCTGCTCCTTCTCGTTGGTGCGGATGATCTTGTACTCGTTGGTGCGCGCCGCCGCCTGGCTCAGGTCTAGCCCGTCGGAAGCCGGAGTCCGGCGGTAAGCCAGGCCTAGGCCGAGCGAGGAGACGGAGGAGCAGGCGGCCGAGGAGGCCACATTGCAGCGGGACAGCGACTGCGAGCGGTAGCTGCCCGCTCCGCCGGCCACGGAGAGGCGCGAGGACAGGCGAGAGCCGTCTCCGAACACCTTGCGGTAGGAGGAGGGGCCGCACAGGTAGTGCTCTGAGCCGAAGCTCATGGTGCCGGGACCAGGGCCGGGAGAGCGATTGCGGCTGGAGATACAAAGGAGAGGAGAGGTGCGCCAGGCGGGGCGCAGGGGGGAGGTGTGCACCGGGTTTTAAGGCGCTGGGACTGGGGCGGCGCATTGGGGGCGGAGCTCCTGCTCCAGGCCTGGCGGGGAGAGGAAAGGGGGGCATCTAGGATCGGGGGCGGGGAAGCGCAGTGACTACCGCAGTTGCGCGCGCGATGGAATAGGGCGCGGGGACAGAGCCATTTGCGTAGGAGCTGTCCCCTGTCCGCAGTGTCCCTCCCCAAGAATCGCCTTGTTTGGAAGTGACTTGAGCCGAGGGGTGCCTAAACGACTGGGGTTTGCTATCAGGAAACCCCCCGGCTCCACCTCGTCCCTTGACCCTGACTTTCTAGTCCCTTCGGACCCACCAGCAGGTTAGGGCTTTCTTGGAGGTGTCCTGTATTCCCAATCCCCACCCCGGAGCTCCCGAGGGTGACGCCTTATTTTTACAGTTAGAGTGGGGACCCGCAGGACGAGGCTTTGTCCCCTCCCTCAGCCCTGTTCAGAGTTCCCAGGGGAAAAGTGGGTCTACGTCAGAGAGCATCTCATCAGCTGTTCCTCTGCAGTTCCCGGGACCGCCAGGGGCGGGAGGTTGCGCGGAAAGCCTGCAACGCCCCGGAAAAAGAGGGGAGGTAGGTAAAGTACGTGGGCCTGAGTTGCAGAGAGTGGAAAGAAGCGGAGGAAGGCCGGGATGGCCACAATGGGCCGAGCTGAGGTGCCCCTGCCATTTGTATAAGTGGCTCTCGGGTTCACCCCAGCCCCCACCACACTCCATTGAATTATACCCACTGTATTAATTCCTTTCCTTTACCTGTCTGGCCCAGTAGGCATTTGAAATTCAGTCTGTGTAAATCCTCATCTGATTTGAGGGAGCCACTTCCTGTGGAGACCTCTCTTTGGACAAAAGAGGTCCCTGCAAATAGATCAAACTCCAGGGGTGGGGAAGAGTGCTGGTAACTGAGCTGGCCTCCTTTACCATCCATACATTGGGGGCAATCAAAGAATGGGATCTGGAAAGCTGAAGGCAGTGTGGAGTCTGCAGTATGTAGTGCTCACCTTCAAGCTTATGATAGCTCTCAGGATGTGGTTACCGCATAAAGAGAGAGTAGGAAGAACTTTTTACTAGATTCCAAAATTCCAGACTGAAGACATTTCTTGATCTGGACTCTCAAGGATGTAGTTCTAGAATAAGTTTTAACTTCATGGGGGTGGGGGTAATATTGCCTGAGACAGGCCACTAGAGTAAAGGGGAAAGGAAGTCCTATGGGACTTTGGACCATATCTCTTGGCTTTGTGCTTGATGTCATGGAAGATGGTCAGATGGTTTCACAGCCTGTCTTCCTGGTTCCTTATCACAGATCAAGACCTGAGCTGGAGGGACTCAATTCTGAGTGCTTTGGGTTCAGAAAGACCTGGTGAGGTGAAGGATGAAAGAGTGCTCACACTGCTGAATAACACTCCCTGCTAGCCCTTGTGCCAGGACTTTTGCATTCGTTTGCCTCCTTCTGGCCACTCTTTAAGGTGGCTCTTACCTCCATGTTACAGATGAGAAACCGGGGCTCAGCTGCAGCACTCTGCATAAGGTCACTAGCAAGCAAACATTCTTTCCTCACCACGTAATTTTACTTAGAGCAACAAAACTCTTGAAGTCTCATTAATTTCCATGCAGCCAGAATAAGGCTAAGTGGGTTTCAGAAGAGTTTTAGCCAATAACAAAGTAACAGGCTGGTTGTAATTGAAAGACAATTGGACCCAGAGTTAGAGGTGATGGGTTTGAATCTTGGCTTCTGCCACTTACTAAGCATGTGGGGGTAATACCACCTTCCTCCCTAAGGTCATGAAAGATTGAGTTAATGCATGTAAAAATGCTTTGCAAGCTGTAAAGGTATGAGGGGTTACTGTCGTCATTGTTTTCTTTCAAACAAAGGGGCACTGCTTCGCATCTACCATCAACAAGATATGAGTTGGGTTTAGTGATAGGATTACAGGAAACTGTCTGCTACATCCTTGCACAGGCTGCCCTTTGGTAGAGAGAATACAGCCAACCTTGATTGTTTGTAGTACCAGGGGTCAGTGTGAGTGTGGCTACGTGAAAATAACCACAGATAATTAGAAGATCTTACTTCTGGGGTATAGTTCCAGTCACCTTTCAACCATGTTATTCAGGACTTCAAAAAAATCAGCCAAAGACCCTGGTTGGAGTTTCACCTTTCTTTCTCCTTCCATCCTCCAATAGAAGCAATATTCCAAAGGTAAAACACACATAGAACAGAAGAAAGGGAGACAAAAGGCCTGAGTGAGCCAACAAATGGGTAGTGGCCCTGGCCAATCTAGAGTGGGTTGCAGTTTACATTTTCTGAATAGCTTACCTAACATTCCCAACAGAGATTCCCCTTGTGGGACTTATACCTCCCCTTTCTTAGCATCCCATTTCACAGGCCAAGATGTTTGGCTTTAATAATTTTAGCACAAAGCTGTATTATGAAGGAATGATCTTGGCTGGGTCTCAAACCACAACGTCTTCCAGCTGGCCAGGTTTCCTGAGGGATTACCCTGTTTTCATCTTCCTCAGATGTCAGACGCAGGCACTGCAGACACACTGACGTGTCATTCCCAGTTTCTCCCTCATACCACATCTTCTGTGGCCTCTTTGTGGCATTTGGCAGTGCTCACACTCTCTTTGATTTCAAGGATTCAGTTTTTGGCTTTCTGCTCGTCCCTCATAAACTCTCTTTCATTTTTTCATTTTTTTAAAAGATTTTATTAGGGAATCAAGGGAGGGAACAGCGCTGGGGAATCGGGGGAAGGGAAACAGACAAGTTGCTGTCCTTTTGTTCTTCAGTCTAGTTGTAGAGGATGGTCGCCTCACTGGCCCATGTTGGTATTATCATTGTGCTCTTCCTGGGTGAGGCAGAGCGGTTGCCGGGCTCTGGATGGCTGCTCACGGAGGCTCTTGGCAGCTCACGCCAGCTGCTGGCTGCTCAAGCTGGCCGCTGGCTACACACGGTAGCTTATGGCAGCCCACTGCAGCAGGGGCTGCAGCCTACGCCATCGCCGGGGACTCACTGCAGCCCAGCTCCAGGTCAAGCTGTTGTTCACCATCTTAGCTGTAGAGGGCGCAGTGTCACTGGCCCTCATGTGGGATCCAAACCAGGGCCCTGCTGCTCAGAGCTGGTGTCCCAAGCCAGCTCTTAACCAACGCGCCACTCGGCCGGCCCATAAACTCTTTTTTAGATATTGGGTCTCCCAGAGGCAGGGAGACTTGTGATGAAGTTATCCCCCTAAGAGATCTAGTTTTGCATAATGATTCTTCCTAGCCATGGGACTTTGAACACATCACTATTATTTGCTGAACCTTAGTTTCTTCACCTGTAAAATTTCAGTAAAATCATCTATCTGAGTGGTTTCCAACCTGACTGTTCATTGGAAGTACCTGGGAGTTTAAAATTAGATTCCCAGGCCTTATCCCAGACTTATTGAACCTAAGTTTAAGAAACTTTGACATCTCTCTTAGGAGATTCTGTGAAGTTTAAATAACATTATGTATACAAAGTAGGTATCATAGTGCCTGCCTTCCGGGTACATGCTCAATAAATGGTGGCTATTAGAAGTATCAACTTCTCATTTCATCCATTCAGTAAATATTTACTGAGTGCAAGGCCCTGGACTAGGTGCTAGGAATAAGGCAGATGTGGACTCTGCCTCTGTGATACTGACTTTCTAGCAAGAGAGACAGAGGTTAAACAACTAATTACACAGCCCAGTAATTATAATTTTGACAAGTGCTCTGAAGGAGAGTACACGTTGCTGTGGGGCATCTAACAAAAGATCTGACCTATGCTGATGATTCCCAAATCCTTTTTTCCAATTTCCAACTCCAAACTCACATATCCAATTGCCTGTTGGGCATCTCTTCATGAATGCTTACTGGTCTTCAAATATTATATATCTAAAAGTGAATTTATCACCTCCTTCTAGTTCCTCCCCCGCAGCCCACTTCTTCGTTTTGACTTTCCTATCCCATCCTTGTTCCTTTGCTGACGCAATTATTTCTTCCTGGAATTTCTTCCTCTGCCCCCACTTCAACTGTTGAAACGCTTAAGGTTCAGACACTGCTTTCTCCGTGAAGCCTCCCTGCTACTTCCAATGTAAAGTGCACCTTCCCTCCCATGAACTGTTGTCCTCCTACCCATAGCAGTTGCAGTACTCACCTGGCTCCTAGTTACCTGCCATTTTCTGCTATAATTATTTGTGTGCTTCTCTAAACTGAATTGGAAGCTCCTCCTTGGTCACAACTCTTCTACACTTATGTATCTCTCTCAGCATTTATTACAGTGTTAAACGCATGTAAGGTGAAAACTTATTTCCTGTACGACCACTTGGGAAAAGTCTTTGGTGTGACACCAAATGTGTGACCCATAAAATAAATCAATAAATTTGACTTCATCAAAATTAAAACATCTGGAAGGAGAACTGACTCTGGGTGGTGAACACACAATGTGATATATAGATGATGTATTACACAGTCATGCACTTGAAACCTATGTAACTTTACTAGCTATTGTCACCCCAATAAACTTTAATTAAAAAAAAATTAAAAATCTTTTCTCTGCAAAAGACCTTGTTGAGAATATGAAAAGACAAACCACATACTGGGAGAATGTATTTGCAAATTGCATATCCAACAAAGGATTTGTATCCATAAGATATACAGAATTCTAAACACAGCAGTAAGAACACAAATATTCCAATTAGAAAATGAGCAAAGGAGCTGAACATACATTTTCCCAAAGGGAATATAAAGATGAATATATGGAAATGTGTTCAACGTCACTAGCCCTTAGGGAAATGAAAATTACAATCACAATGATATGCACTATATACCTCCTAGAGTAGCTGAAACAAAATACTGACAATACCAAGTGCTTACAAGGATTCAGAGCATCTGGAACTCTTATCTTGCTGCTGGGATTGTAAAA